CTTTACGTCTAATCGCGTGTTGACAAGCCTGCTACCCCTTGTGTTCCTCTTGCCTCCAATCCATCCCTTTAAAAGAAATTCAGTTTCTCTCTCCAACTTCCCACTAATTTAAACATCCAAGATGGTGACAAACTTTTAACGATGAAATCATTTGAGCGTTAGCTTTCTGAAATACCCTTGCTCTGCAGGCGACCGTGTTTGTATGATTGACAGTTATGAAATGTTTACTTAGCTTTTTGCGCTTAGACTGGAATTTGTAGATCTGCACGTCAAAAGTAATGAGGGTCGACTGCCTTTTTTTTTACCTCGCTCTTTGATTGGTCCAGAAAACTCGCGTCCCCCTCTCAACCAATCAGATGCACTGCTATAACCGATCTAGACTAACTCGTTCGCGTTTACCCGCACGTAGGAATTGTGTCTGTTTTTTACCTGTGATATTCTTCTTTGTCCCGATTGGTTTTTGTGATAATTTTGAATTTCATTTGAGACACACTAACGAAAAGCGCTCTAAAATCAAGATTGATTTGATTTCTAGTGCTTAAACTTGAGGATTCAAATAGAGACGCAAATGGAGGAAATAGAAGAAATTAAACAACAGCTCGCATTACGAAAAAGATCACCCAATGAAGAAAAGAGCAGAAAAAGGTCACGTGCGGAGGCAAAGACTGCGAGGAGACTGATCGATAAAGTTATTTCAGCAGCAAAAGAAGCTGCGTCACACAATTCTACTAGAACTTTCCAAGAAAGAGATGTTGATAATGAGAGTCAATTGAGAACAACTGAAAATGAATTGCGGCCAAGAAACGGAATTGCTCGACACGATGTTCCTGATATATTCGTAGAGAATGATGTCGACGGAAGATGTTATCTTGGACCGCGTAGAAGATCTTTATTTGATGACAATAACAATGATTAAGCTGTGCAAGATGCGACTTCAGTTTCAAAACATAAACTAGGCCTTTTACGAGACGCCTCAAAGCCTTTGTTACAAAACGAGGGTGAGTTTGAAGCCTTTGAAGTTTAGTGCGAGGTGTTATTTTGAAAGTGACTTATTTTGGAACACGGAAATGTCCTATTAAATAGCCAAAGACTCGACGCTTTCAATGGAGATGTCCAGAAGATCGCCAAATTAACATTAATGATTAAGATGTCCTCGCGAATTAGAAAGAAGTCACAATAACGAATTTTGTTCAGCTTACAAAAAAAGGTCAATTTAGTGAAGATGTTTTTTTTCGGAGTGTACCAGTACTGCGTAAATGAGGACAAATGTGAAACGCGAGTGTTTGAAAATTTTACTAGTTCGGATATGAATACACAGAGAGCCATTTTTTCCGAATGACGAACACGACCACACTAGGTTTTTCGCATTTTAATCACTTCTTGTCTGCAGACAGATTTGTGTTTGTTGTAATTGCTCTTGTACCAGACATAAACAAAAATGAGAAGATAAAAACGTGTTAAAACTGAAAGAATAATGATGTTATGAAAGCGCTGATTTTGATCCGTGGTAAGCGCTTTACAGCACTAAAAGAATTATCTAGAAAAAAACAAACTCAAATTTTCAATTTTGATAACAATAGAATGCAGCGACAATAAAGGCACAGTGGAGATTAGTGAACCGATTCCTGTTTGAGATAGGCAACTGGTAATACATCACTTATATTTAGACATCATGTGCCACAAGGGCTAAAGGTTACCGCTGAAAGTGATCTTCAAATCTAGCCAACAAAAATCTAATTCATTCAGACGACTCGTGCAGTACTTGAGCACGCGACGAAGCTCAAACTCTGAACCTGTTTTCTCGAAGATGAGTGAGAATTTTCAGATAAACAAGAGTCACCCTATCTTTAGCTCGTAATGCGCTTTGTGATAATCTTGAACTGATTGAGACAGACATTAGGAATCAACGAAAAGACTACGATTTGGTTGGAACGTTAGATGCGCCTGTTTGACTATTAAGCGCAAGTCAGTATTGCATGAAAGGTCAATGACAAGAAAGCTGTAATTTGGGATCATCTTGTGGTTAAAATTATCTGAGAACCATCGATTTTATTCTTCTAATTGGTGAATTTTAATACACCTTAACTGGGACTAAAACTCCGTCTCTGTATTTTAACGTAACCCAGGATAGAGGCAAGAGTGGTGTTTTCGTTGATATGGTAATAACTCACAAGCTAGTTCTCGAGGAGTTGACCTTAAACATATCCGCGGCAAAGCGAACCAAATTTTCTTCAGCAATTGGAGCACGCATTTGGAAAAAATCCGTAATCGCATTGATTTCTGATACGTGTGTTTATTTAGACAGTGATGTATAAAACGTTTGATGGATTTATAGAATTCTTTTAGCGCTTTTGTCAATAAGCTGCTTGCACCTTTCAACTGACTCGTCTAAAATTCTAGGCCACCCCAGGAAAACAATCTTGAAGTGGATGATTTATTGAAAAAAAGGATATGGCAAGTCTACATTTTTTGCAAAATTTTTCAGAGATGGAAATGAAAAGACGCTTTTCAGCGAAAAAACTTACGGAAAATAAGTAAAACTGAAAAAGGGAACATATGAATCCGCGAGTATTTCTTTCTACGATGGATAAGCTTGGTGAGAATTGCGTGTTTTGTTAAGCGTGGAAAGGAAATCCGCAAATAAGGAATTCTGGAATGAGGCACAAAAGGAGACCAATTTGAGGGTTTGTTTCCTGTTCATTGTTTTCTTCTTTGAAAATTAATGAGATGTCCCGAATTAAACTGAACAATTTCGTGTGGTGACAGTGTTTACGTTGCTAAAGTGATATTTGACATTGGGAGTCTGTTTTTGAAAAGCACTCAAAAGTCAGGAAGTGTGAGATGACAAGTATTTTAGTCGCGATAAAAATACAATTTATATGATAAATAGCCTTGGTAAGTCTTTAAAACTCCAAGTGAAAGTGGTTCTAAAATGATGTCAGGTATTGATACTGGATTACTTTTATCATAAGTTTGGTAAATACTGGATTGTATTGCACGGCTCTACACCGCATAGGAAGAGATAGAGAAAGGGAGAGAGATATTCCGACTCTGGCGCGGTCAATAATTTTTACACTTACATGTTTAAAAAGTCTCAAGTCCCTTTCAGCCCTGAATCAACAAAATCTCGGCAGGGGTTATATTGACTCGTCCACAGAAATGTGGCTCCATAAGTTTTGTCTAATTCTAAGATGGACGATCTTTTCCCTTTATTATTAACGTCTGACTTGTAAGCTGTTTTGGTATGTTAATTTTGTTGCTCAACTAAGAAATTTCCTAATGAAAACGAGATTCCCTCAGAAATTTTATTTTCCGAAATCCATTTCTTCCTTTTCACGAAAGTTCACCAGCAAATTTCCTTTTGCCAAAGTGATAAAGACAACAAGACTGCATTATCACATTAAGGAGTATTAGTTTCATAGTAATGAAAGAATTATTCGAAGTCAAAGATTTCACGGGTTGCCATCGCAATAAACTTCAATGTAAAGAGCTGAATTGTCTGCCAAGTTTGTGTTGTCGTATTTTTGAAAGTGACTGTTGTGAAGAATCAATTCAGGATATCACTTTCATCTCGAAATTAAATGTGCTTCCGAGGATAATTGCATGTGCTTCAAATCTGCGCGCACAAGTACAAGCTTTTAACCAGACCATGTGCTGCCTTAAGGAGTCTTTAATTGCACGTTTTCACAAACAACAACCCTCGACCAATAAAACACTGCCTTCTACTTGTACATCGTTTGGCGTCTTGCGGCTTCATATTACGTGAAAGAAGCCACTTCAGCCCTTTTAGGTAGCCATTCTTTGCATTCAGTACTCACGCCTAGGTTAACCACAGATTTAGAACGACAGACAATATAACTTCTCGAAAGCTTAAAGGAATCAGCGCACAAACACCGTCGCTCATTGTGTAAACAAGCCACACGCGCGAGAGTACACCAAAACACTGAGCTCACAACTACGTCTTAGTGCTGTAATTGGTTTTTCTTCAGTTTTTTTTTTTTTTTTTTTTTTGCCTTTTTTTAGTGTTTGGCAGTTATTGGTTTCAACCCGGAAATAACTATCGTGTCGTGGAATCGTCTGGTTAAGGGAAATCTATAAAAGGACTGCCATTTTTGACTGTAGGTTATGATTTGACAAACTTAATGAAGTCATCATCAGATCCAAGTAACTAATCAGTTTTCGCGAATCAGACTTTTAAAACCACTGACAAAGAAACCCTCACTTGACTCTGGCGCTACGTGTAGCAGTTAATCTCACCGATAAGAGTACTTTTGGTGACCACTCTCACCTGAATGATCAGAGTACATGATCAACTTTTCGATTCAGTTAGCAAAAATTAAAGGATGTATTATTTTCAGGCTATAGAGGAGTATCCTGAAGCTAAAAAAGTACTAGAAAGTCAAGGGAGAGACAGGTAAGAAACAGACTTTGTTTAGCGTGCCATGAAAGTAGTTTTGATCGTTAATGTTCTATTCGTTTGTTGTTTTTGTTGTTGTTGTCGTCTTTTTCCTTTGTTTGTTTGTTTGTTTACTTAATTTTCCTGTCTGTTGTATTTGGAATTTAACATGAAAGATCGATGCATTCTTTTTCCTTGGAAACTTTTTTAAACTTTAATCCTGGGCATAGTTAATCCTGGGCAACAGTTTCACCCGTAGCCTTAAACGTTTTCTCGTTTTAGATTACAGAGGACAAGGTCGAATAACAATCTCTCAATACCCCATCCTGATTCAGAAAGAGAACAATTTCGTAACCTAGAATTCAACTTTGGTGAGTGATGTCTTTTACATCTAGCTATAACACTGTTTCGTAACTGGGGAATGTTGCGTGAAGAGCTAAAACGAATGGGACTACATGACTGAGTGTCGTAAAACCAAAACCAAGTATTTAAACCAGCCAATCAGAACTAAGAAAGATATCTTAAGGAGCCAGTGAGAACTCAAAGTAAAAACAAGCAAACTGTCTGAAGCGCGAGAAAACGCAAGTGACCAAGTTGCGATTGGTTTTAGTTTAGAATCTGACTGGCTGAGAAAGTGGCGCGAGTTTTCAAAAACAATTGCACAGCGAAGTGAAGCAAGACCAAACCAATCTAGAATTGCGTTCGACATTCAATTGGAAATAACTCAATATTGAGAGTAAGAATAACTTGGAAGAAAGGCCTGCAGGGTGAAATATTCTCACAGCTAGTTCCTCTTTAGTTCATAACTTAAGAAGCATGCCTCCATACTGGTGAGAATTGTAGCTGATGTGTTAAAATGAATGAAAGTGATAATGGCTGGGAAATTAGTGACAAATTTTTAATATGAAAAAGAGTTTTGAGCGTTAACTACAATGTGTCAATAGTTTTGAAGTATCTAAGAGTCTTTCAAAAGCAAAAATGATTTCATTCCCTGATAAAAACGTCTATTTGTAATTCTCTTAAAACGTGTTTTTTTTGTTTTTGTTTTTTTTGGTGTGGCGAGGGTGTAAAGCAATCGATTAACAATCCTTCTTTTTCATGACGATCATCCATTTATAGCGAGGGAAATCAGCATCGTCAAAGAACTCTTGGAGGAAATTAAAGAAAACAAAAACGAGGTGGGTTGAATTTCTCCCCGCTTTTCGATACTACTGAAAGGGAAAAAAAAAATGGAACTACAAAAAAAAGACAGACGGAGGGATGGTGGGGCTTCTATCGAGCTTAAAATAAGTTTGAATCCTTAACGAAGATCGATGAAAGTTTTTCAGTTACTTAGATGTTACTTACAGCTGAGATCTACTTAAACGATAACTTTTAAACTCACCATTCGAGTGTTAACTGGTTGAATTTCAGTTCTGTAAAGACGAGCCCGTAAGGAGTCTTAGAGAAGAGGTATGCTGTCTCCTTAAATGTAGTTCAGAGTCTATCTAGCAGGCTTGGATCAGTATTTCCCTATTATCGTTTGTTAACAATGTGTATTTCCTCATTTACTTGTGATTGATTAATGTACGTGTTCACGTAGTGGCCTTGACAAAATTTATTGTGCGGGATGGGATTACTCTCCGAAACATATTGCGAGAAGCTGTTAATCTACTGCTCCAGATGGTATGCTTTCAGTCACAAGTACAATCTCAGCATTTCGTTAGGATGCTCTGGCAGTTTGCCTGTACCCATTTATACGCTTGGGTGGAGAGGGCCACTGTAATAAGAACTTATCCCATAAAAAAACACAATATCCTGGTTGGGGCTCTAACTTAGTCCCTGACCTTTCGACCAAATGCCAAGCGCGCTAACCAGGAGGCCACCGCGTCACCCACATGGATGTATCATAGATGTCCTCAAAACGTATAAGATAGGTAAGAAAGAGTGGAATCCAAGCCGCTGGCGAGCATGTCTCGTAATTACAGAGCCACATGCTCTCCCAAGGTCTGCTGTGCTCGACAGATGACCGATAAATGAATGTGGGAGTAAAATGAAAGTGTAATGAAAGCAGTCCTCCTGCTACCCCTTGTGTTCCTCTTGCCTCCAATCCATCCCTTTAAAAGAAATTCAGTTTCTCTCTCCAACTTCCCACTAATTTAAACATCCAAGATGGTGACAAACTTTTAACGATGAAATCATTTGAGCGTTAGCTTTCTGAAATACCCTTGCTCTGCAGGCGACCGTGTTTGTATGATTGACAGTTATGAAATGTTTACTTAGCTTTTTGCGCTTAGACTGGAATTTGTAGATCTGCACGTCAAAAGTAATGAGGGTCGACTGCCTTTTTTTTTACCTCGCTCTTTGATTGGTCCAGAAAACTCGCGTCCCCCTCTCAACCAATCAGATGCACTGCTATAACCGATCTAGACTAACTCGTTCGCGTTTACCCGCACGTAGGAATTGTGTCTGTTTTTTACCTGTGATATTCTTCTTTGTCCCGATTGGCTTTTGTGATAATTTTGAATTTCATTTGAGACACACTAACGAAAAGCGCTCTAAAATCAAGATTGATTTGATTTCTAGTGCTTAAACTTGAGGATTCAAATAGAGACGCAAATGGAGGAAATAGAAGAAATTAAACAACAGCTCGCATTACGAAAAAGATCACCCAATGAAGAAAAGAGCAGAAAAAGGTCAAGTGCGGAGGCAAAGGCTGCGAGGAGACTGATCGATAAAGTTATTTCAGCAGCAAAAGAAGCTGCGTCACACAATTCTACTAGAACTTTCCAAGAAAGAGATGTTGATAATGAGAGTCAATTGAGAACAACTGAAAATGAATTGCGGCCAAGAAACGGAATTGCTCGACACGATGTTCCTGATATATTCGTAGAGAATGATGTCGACGGAAGATGTTATCTTGGACCGCGTAGAAGATCTTTATTTGATGACAATAACAATGATTAAGCTGTGCAAGATGCGACTTCAGTTTCAAAACATAAACTAGGCCTTTTACGAGACGCCTCAAAGCCTTTGTTACAAAACGAGGGTGAGTTTGAAGCCTTTGAAGTTTAGTGCGAGGTGTTATTTTGAAAGTGACTTATTTTGGAACACGGAAATGTCCTATTAAATAGCCAAAGACTCGACGCTTTCAATGGAGATGTCCAGAAGATCGCCAAATTAACATTAATGATTAAGATGTCCTCGCGAATTAGAAAGAAGTCACAATAACGAATTTTGTTCAGCTTACAAAAAAAGGTCAATTTAGTGAAGATGTTTTTTTTCGGAGTGTACCAGTACTGCGTAAATGAGGACAAATGTGAAACGCGAGTGTTTGAAAATTTTACTAGTTCGGATATGAATACACAGAGAGCCATTTTTTCCGAATGACGAACACGACCACACTAGGTTTTTCGCATTTTAATCACTTCTTGTCTGCAGACAGATTTGTGTTTGTTGTAATTGCTCTTGTACCAGACATAAACAAAAATGAGAAGATAAAAACGTGTTAAAACTGAAAGAATAATGATGTTATGAAAGCGCTGATTTTGATCCGTGGTAAGCGCTTTACAGCACTAAAAGAATTATCTAGAAAAAAACAAACTCAAATTTTCAATTTTGATAACAATAGAATGCAGCGACAATAAAGGCACAGTGGAGATTAGTGAACCGATTCCTGTTTGAGATAGGCAACTGGTAATACATCACTTATATTTAGACATCATGTGCCACAAGGGCTAAAGGTTACCGCTGAAAGTGATCTTCAAATCTAGCCAACAAAAATCTAATTCATTCAGACGACTCGTGCAGTACTTGAGCACGCGACGAAGCTCAAACTCTGAACCTGTTTTCTCGAAGATGAGTGAGAATTTTCAGATAAACAAGAGTCACCCTATCTTTAGCTCGTAATGCGCTTTGTGATAATCTTGAACTGATTGAGACAGACATTAGGAATCAACGAAAAGACTACGATTTGGTTGGAACGTTAGATGCGCCTGTTTGACTATTAAGCGCAAGTCAGTATTGCATGAAAGGTCAATGACAAGAAAGCTGTAATTTGGGATCATCTTGTGGTTAAAATTATCTGAGAACCATCGATTTTATTCTTCTAATTGGTGAATTTTAATACACCTTAACTGGGACTAAAACTCCGTCTCTGTATTTTAACGTAACCCAGGATAGAGGCAAGAGTGGTGTTTTCGTTGATATGGTAATAACTCACAAGCTAGTTCTCGAGGAGTTGACCTTAAACATATCCGCGGCAAAGCGAACCAAATTTTCTTCAGCAATTGGAGCACGCATTTGGAAAAAATCCGTAATCGCATTGATTTCTGATACGTGTGTTTATTTAGACAGTGATGTATAAAACGTTTGATGGATTTATAGAATTCTTTTAGCGCTTTTGTCAATAAGCTGCTTGCACCTTTCAACTGACTCGTCTAAAATTCTAGGCCACCCCAGGAAAACAATCTTGAAGTGGATGATTTATTGAAAAAAAGGATATGGCAAGTCTACATTTTTTGCAAAATTTTTCAGAGATGGAAATGAAAAGACGCTTTTCAGCGAAAAAACTTACGGAAAATAAGTAAAACTGAAAAAGGGAACATATGAATCCGCGAGTATTTCTTTCTACGATGGATAAGCTTGGTGAGAATTGCGTGTTTTGTTAAGCGTGGAAAGGAAATCCGCAAATAAGGAATTCTGGAATGAGGCACAAAAGGAGACCAATTTGAGGGTTTGTTTCCTGTTCATTGTTTTCTTCTTTGAAAATTAATGAGATGTCCCGAATTAAACTGAACAATTTCGTGTGGTGACAGTGTTTACGTTGCTAAAGTGATATTTGACATTGGGAGTCTGTTTTTGAAAAGCACTCAAAAGTCAGGAAGTGTGAGATGACAAGTATTTTAGTCGCGATAAAAATACAATTTATATGATAAATAGCCTTGGTAAGTCTTTAAAACTCCAAGTGAAAGTGGTTCTAAAATGATGTCAGGTATTGATACTGGATTACTTTTATCATAAGTTTGGTAAATACTGGATTGTATTGCACGGCTCTACACCGCATAGGAAGAGATAGAGAAAGGGAGAGAGATATTCCGACTCTGGCGCGGTCAATAATTTTTACACTTACATGTTTAAAAAGTCTCAAGTCCCTTTCAGCCCTGAATCAACAAAATCTCGGCAGGGGTTATATTGACTCGTCCACAGAAATGTGGCTCCATAAGTTTTGTCTAATTCTAAGATGGACGATCTTTTCCCTTTATTATTAACGTCTGACTTGTAAGCTGTTTTGGTATGTTAATTTTGTTGCTCAACTAAGAAATTTCCTAATGAAAACGAGATTCCCTCAGAAATTTTATTTTCCGAAATCCATTTCTTCCTTTTCACGAAAGTTCACCAGCAAATTTCCTTTTGCCAAAGTGATAAAGACAACAAGACTGCATTATCACATTAAGGAGTATTAGTTTCATAGTAATGAAAGAATTATTCGAAGTCAAAGATTTCACGGGTTGCCATCGCAATAAACTTCAATGTAAAGAGCTGAATTGTCTGCCAAGTTTGTGTTGTCGTATTTTTGAAAGTGACTGTTGTGAAGAATCAATTCAGGATATCACTTTCATCTCGAAATTAAATGTGCTTCCGAGGATAATTGCATGTGCTTCAAATCTGCGCGCACAAGTACAAGCTTTTAACCAGACCATGTGCTGCCTTAAGGAGTCTTTAATTGCACGTTTTCACAAACAACAACCCTCGACCAATAAAACACTGCCTTCTACTTGTACATCGTTTGGCGTCTTGCGGCTTCATATTACGTGAAAGAAGCCACTTCAGCCCTTTTAGGTAGCCATTCTTTGCATTCAGTACTCACGCCTAGGTTAACCACAGATTTAGAACGACAGACAATATAACTTCTCGAAAGCTTAAAGGAATCAGCGCACAAACACCGTCGCTCATTGTGTAAACAAGCCACACGCGCGAGAGTACACCAAAACACTGAGCTCACAACTACGTCTTAGTGCTGTAATTGGTTTTTCTTCAGTTTTTTTTTTTTTTTAGGCTGATATGCTGCATTTTTTTTTTTTTCTTTAGGTGGTGTTTGATTTTGTACTTACGCCTTGCACTAATCTTTTTTGATAAGTGAATCTAAAGTACGCTCAGTAATTATAGTATAACGAAGGGGCGGGCAGGCAACACTGAATTGAAATGGCAACCTCAAAGAGCTCGCGTTTTATGTACTCAAAGGGTTTGTAACTGTTGAACGTAATGACAGTTTTAACAATAGAAATGTTTAAGAAAAATTGCTGTGAAATCAAAGGTATTAACGACTGCCACGGAAGCTCTAATTTTCAAATTTCCAATTACTCCCAATCGCCCGTCACCGGAAAGAAAACCTCAGCAATAACATCAAGTATGCTACTACTGGTGAAGGCAGACTTGATCGCAATACATCTAATTAATGTTTCTCTTTACGTCTAATCGCGTGTTGACAAGCGACAGTGTCAAATCGTAGATAAAGCTGCCCGAAAAAGGATCATTTGATCAGCTAGTGACATAACATGACTGTCACACTCTTCACACTTAAGAACTACGGCCACTCCCACTGAAACTGACACATGTCTCGTCCATTTCAAACCTTACGCATATTTTAGAGCGCGAGCTACAATGATCGACTCAATGAAACTCTGAACTCAGTACCGTTCTCGATAGCCGGATACTCGGTTGAAATGAGTTCGTTTTCGATAGACAGTATTCTCGCCCTTGAGGAGAGCAAGTTTGGAAGAACGCAGGGAAACAAAATTCGCAAAAATGTAACCAGCCTGAGCCTTGAAGAACTGCGACATCAAGAGATCGGTACGTCCAAGAGTGAAGAACGTAACAGCAGTTCTCCAGATTCAAGTCCAGCTCGTGGAACGGAAAAATCTTACGAAGGTACTGTCGCAGCTAATATTTCCTATATTTTCCCCACAATTTAGTTGTCTTCTGTTGGCTCCTTAAATTCTATTTTAGTCGATAAGTGGAGACTCAAGTGCCACAATCGCAATATTCTACTTGCCAGATTCTTAAATTGCGCATCAAGTACTTAACCAAGGGTTACATACAAAAGAAAATTTTCATGTTTTGGATTTAACGCGCAGGACATAAACAAACTTTGCAAAAAGTGCACCGCACAAAATAAATTTCACCAAGCGTGCGAAAAATGTCGCCGCTTGAACATTTCGGGTAAATTGCGTCAGTGTTCCGCGTTCCTGCATTCTGTTTTTCTGTTCGTCGATCGTCATTTCCGTTTTAAACATTTTTCTTCCTTTTATTTCTAGCTGATTCCACAGCGAGACTCGATGAAGAGGATTTTATCAACGAAAACGAAAATGACCCTGAAACGGAAATTCCCAACACCAAAAAGCGAAAACGAAGAGTGCTATTCTCCAAGGCGCAGATCTTCGAACTTGAGAGACGCTTTAGACAGCAGCGGTACCTTTCTGCGCCAGAACGGGAGCAGTTAGCTCGACTTATAAACCTCTCTCCGACGCAAGTCAAAATATGGTTTCAGAACCATCGGTATAAATTCAAGAAGCAAATTGGGGATAAAGGACATCTTGCGAGCGAGGCCCTGCCTTTCATGAGCCCGAGACTTGTTCCTGTCCCCGTTCTAGTACACGAAGGCCAGCCTTGTTATAGACATAGAACTGTAGCCACTCCAAGGCAGGAATTCAGTAATGGCTTCGCCGGTTATCCTCCAGTGCCTTTCCTGTACTCGAGCACCGCTGTATACAATAATCGCTTCTGGGGCTTTTCTTAGATTAGGGTAATGCTTCAGTAAATAGCGTTCAAGTTGGTTATTTTGACGCTACTAACGCAACCGAAGACCTAATCCCGTTCGTGTTTATACAACTTAGCTGTTACTCTAGGGGTTAATATTTTGTATTCCATTCAACATGAGACGTTTGGTGTAATACCTTTATGATTATCGCTTTTTAACGTTCAAAATTTGCCAGATGAATCTGTGATGAAACAGAACAGTCTGTGTTCTTAAGCTGGTGGCCAAGTTTACTCTGAAAAAGCTTTAGGGTTTAAGCTTCGTTTGAAGAGTTCTTGAAGTTACGCCATGTGCAATACTAGCTTATGTACAAAAGATTACCGGTCATATCTATTTGTATTCCCGCTCATGAAATACTTCATTCTCTGCCGACAAGGACTCTAGGAACAGAAGCGTTAAGATTTTCACCATAGGCGCGAAACGTTTGATAAATCCTCACTGCTGGATGTTTAATGTTGAGAGTTTTAATGTCTTCGAGTCAAAGCTCTGTGACAACGGTTTGGGTTAACATAGAATTGCAATATTTGCCGAGATCTTGGCAAACAAGTTGTATATGATCTTAAGATTTCGTAATCTACTAAGTAATATGTAAGAGCCACTGACAAACTCAGGGATTAGGAAATCCTTTTCTACTGGCCATTAAATAACAATAAACTTCTCAGTGTACGAAAAGAAATCAACCGGACGCACTTTGCGCCAACAAAGAAAAGCTTTTTCTTTGTTGTCAGTCTCCTTTGCGTGGGTTTCTTGAGACATGATCAACGTCTATTATAGGATCTCAAACCTCGTTGGAAAAAAAAAGGATATAAAGATGTTGGGAACGTGATGTTATCTTTTTAGGCGGAGCGTTGCGGCGATTCTTAAGCTCTACGTATTTTCGCGGTAAGAGGGATAAGTAATGATAAGAGTGCATTCGTTATAACCTTGGTCCGTAGAGATTGGCGCGGAACTCTATCTTAAGTGCCAAGCGCGGCCTTCATCTCTACTGTCGCTTTAAAATAGATTTGCGACACGGTTTGAAATTATCTTTCGCGGAGGCTGCTTTATTGACCAAAGCTGGGCGAGCGGGAAAACGAGAGAAAGACCTTTTCTTCAAGGGGTGTGTTGGGCATTACGCGCAATATTCATATCGATGTCAACAACCATTGTTTGACACCCAAGGAAAATTTCCAAATTTGCAGCTTAACGCCAGTGTTTACAGAGCTCTGGTTTGCGTTAAAATGATTAACAAGGAGTTAATCTTTAAAATTGAGTCTTCAAGGCCAGATTTAAGCGATTACGCTTTGAAAATTAGAGACATTTTAGAATTCCAATGTCGCTAAGTATTTTCAAAAGGCAGCTACTTACAGTATTGACAGAAAAATAGTAAATAAAGAAATACAGTTAAAAGTAATAAAGGGCTTTTGTAACTCCGCTTAATAGAATATACACCAATAGTCATTAATTCAAGATTGGAATGATAATTTCTACTAGAAATAAATCGAGAAATCTTTGCGATGTCTCGACAGGTATGGTCAAATTTTCTCCGAGAGTACACACACCTTGTAGCGGTTTAGAATAACAAAGAAAGTTTACAAAGTTCATCACTTCAGCTGTCTTGGTTTATCTGCGTTTGGTACTGGGAACCTCAAAGGGTTTAAAAACACACGAGCACATACACTCTTGGCTAAAAGCCTTAAAAACCCCAATCTTTTCAAATCATCTCAGCGTTTAAACTGGAAGGACTCAACTGTCAAAGGGGAAAGATATAATTCTTGTTTTTTTTTACCCTGTGTAATTAACTGTTACTTCTACCTGAAAGGTGATTCATATGCAAGACCTGCTGTTCCCAAATTGTTACAGGTACTAAGTCACTTAAATTATTATTGCGAAAGATCAGCGTGAAATGACATTACCATGTTAATACACAATGACAAAAATGTTCTTTGAAATTCCTCTGTGGCGTTCATAAAATGTATGTCGGTCTCTCAGATAACTATTTATTTTCCAAAATTAATTTCTCTTCTTTTGTTCGAGAATTATGAAAAAAGAAAGCATATCAGAAACTATAGGCCCAGGTATCGCAGACATTGATTGAAACAACTCCTTTGAAGTTTCACCGCTGCTTGAGCTAACTTTTCATTCCATGAATCGCGTTCAGTTGTTGCTTCTTGTTTCGGATCATAACTTTTCGTGTGTTATAGTTGTATTCGGCCCAAGCCAGAGAATTCGATATCTCACACATATGTAACATTCTCCAAAACCAAAATATTAAGTATCACTTCGAAAACTTAGTCCCAGAACACGAAAGTTGTTCTGAAGGCACATGATATGACATGTTTGTCTTCCACCATTGTACTTCATCTTTGATCAGGTGTGGTTGCTCACGTCAAGGCGTAGATTCGCGTAGTATGACCGTTTTTGTTCGTGTACAGAATGAATGATAGATGAATGTAGCTGTAATAAAAAAAAAAAAAAAAATGGAGTCTGCCGTCAGCATTATCGTTCATGCCATATCGTGAGAACAGACAGGCAAGATTATCGGAAAGAGATAACGCACGCTAACATGAAAATGAATTTGAAGAAAAAAGTCATTTAAAACGTACATTCAAAACGATAGTAAAATCTAAGAGGCCTCATATAAGTTACTTTCTTAGAAAGGAGACCTGTATCGGTTATATATTTGACTGCTAGGGGAAACTGATGCTGCAGTGATACCACTGATGAATATCAGAGGATTTGCCGTGGTAATACTCTCCCTTTGTAGTTGATAAAGTTGCACGGATAACCTTCTGTTGTTATCGGCCTTAAAAAACACACTGAATAACCTCTAAGAGAGTGCATTTTCCTATAATGAACAGATACCTCTTCTTACGTCGCGTAATCCACTGGAACTTTTTGCACGTGAAATGTACTGTGAAGTGTTTACGGTCTTGCCCGCGAAACAATATCTACTATTCTTTTATCTCAAATGTTGCCTTTGCTCTCGTGTTTTCATGTTTCGTTCATTGTAAAACATTCTGCGAAGAACTTCTGCCTTTTCAGTGAATTGTGCAAGTCATATCAATGTTCGACTGTCCACACTTAACAGGACTACTAAATCCTTTGCTGAGCGGCTAAACGCAGCTCCCGTAGGATGGAACCATACTTGTTCATTTGTAGCAAGTCTTGTCATGTTCATGAACAGATTTAATCAATAAAACACATAGCCACATAGAAAAGAGTTTTATGTCTTTAGAGGAGTGACCTTATCTTTGGAACAATTCTGATAAAACAAAGGCTCTTAAAATGGCCATGAAACGGAAGGCCAAGTGGGAGGAAGTTCTCGTCAGTAAATCGAAACTTGTCAAGAAGTTCTAAAAACGAAAGCTTCGTAGTCCCAGACAGCACAAGTACTTGTTGTTTAATATCATTAATGAAGGTAGACATAAGGGTGCGTGAGTATAATTCGTAACACCAGACAAATTCGCTCGTTCATCGGAGACTTCAGCCCGCGACGCTAAGTCTAGCGGTAGTTTTGTCGGTATGTGCGCGCGCTTCACGAAAAAGCCTACAGCTCATGAAATTTATAATCAGTGGCTCCGGTTTTTCAATGTGTTAAACGACCCCCTTTCCTGGTGAGTGGCTCTAAATCTCTTTGTGGAAGGAAATATTTAATTACAGTCTACCTGGCTTTCTTTGCGCATTTAACGGCTCACGTTCGACTTATATAGGAAGGCGTAAGGGGACAGGAGGGGAAGGAGGAGGGGGAATACAGAAAATATCCCTGGGAATTTGCAATATGAAACCAGCGGTGGGCGGCTGAGAACCTCTCAGTATTCTGCCTGACTACGTGAGGCAGTTACTCGTCAGCAACAAAGGAAAAACAAATGTGGGTCAAAAAAGGCGGTAAAATGTGTAGCCTTCTAGACTCGTCTGGAATTTATATTTGCAAGTCCCACTTCCTGAATTAATTATCAACGTCGCAAGTAAGGGGACGTCCTTTACGGCTTCGTGGGTTTCACCTGCTCCGCTCTGCTTTAGGTTTAAAAACTAATTCTCATTTAAAACGTTGGGTGAATCACGTCATACAAACAAGATCGTTTCCGCGGTAAGTAGCCCAGAAATTTCCGCGGAGCATTACTATATCAGAAAATCAAGGATTTTCGAAAGTTCGATACGGAAACACCTTTGTGTTCATTCATACTTACGCACTCATCTCAGTTACGAGGTTGTAAGTTCGGTAACGATTAGAAAAGATTTCTTGAGAGTAAATAGAGAGCTATCTCGTTATCTTATTTGCTGAATTAGATGTCTTTTTTCGTTTCGAGATTTAGCTTTTATTTCCGTGATGTGTTGGTTGCAGTGAATGAGGCTTAGACCGATTATGGATTAAGAGGATTTCAAGGGACACAAACCAGACAGGAGATTCGTTTTCAAATGTCTGGCTTTTCAATGCCACGAATATTTTCTACTCCTCGAAAAAACTAATTGTCGCCATAATGGCTATAAAAACAACATTAACTTTTCATCGTTAAAAGCTCTTGTCGAAAAGAGGATAACTCTGTCACCTCCTGTTCTGCCCTCTTCCC